CAACCGGAGTTGACGCGGATGGCGGGTTGTTTCCTTTAGCATTCGCAGTGGTTGATGTTGAAAATACAGAGAATTGGGCTTGGTTTTTTGCATGCATTAGATATCATATCCCTAGTGTGGGGACGCGGCATATTACATTCATATCCGATAGGATGAAAGGAATTCCAAGAGCACTCCAACGACATTTCCCGCCACCACATGCACATCGCTATTGCTTGCGACATATTAGAGACAACTTCAAGAAGAAGTATGGAAACGCTCAGGTTCAAGACTTACTTTGGCAAGCCGGTTGTGCAACAGAAAAATATGTTTATGAACAAATACGAGAGAGGATCAAGTTCACTTCACGAGCCGCACATGATTGGATCGAAACTAGTTTGGGTCCAAACAATGTTGATAAGTGGGCTTTATGTGAGGATGGCGGTCGACGGTTCTGTATGATGACTACGAACGCGTCTGAGAGCTTCAATGGCGTGCTCAAGGGAGCACGCGGCATGCCAATACAGGCACTAGTTGCTAAAACTTTTTACAGGCTTAATAAATTCTTTGTTCGACGTCGAGAACTTGGTGAAAATATGCGCTCCCAGCTAACACCGAAGGTTGATGAAATGCTAGCGGCTCGGATTGTACAAGCTCAGTCCTTTCAGGTTGTACGATACAGTTTTAATGAATGGGAGGTGCTCGAGGGAATAACCCATAGAGAAAATCGCTCTTACAAAGTCAATATGTTGGTGGATCACACTTGTACGTGCACTTGCAATGTACCGCAACTACAATTGATTCCTTGTTCACATGTTGTAGCAGCTTGCTCCGACCTACAGGGTGGTGCTCGCATTTCACATTATGAATTTGTCGACGCTTGGTATTCTGCATACAACTATCAACAAACCTACAAAGAGTGTTTTCGTCCACCATACGATAGTCGACATTGGACACAAGATGGGCCACGGATATTACCTCCACTGTATAAAAGATCGGCGGGGCGCCCTCGTTCCGTGCGTATTAGAAATAGTATGGATGACGGACGTGAAGGAGCTAGGAGGAGAAATAAGTGCAGTAGATGTGATCAACCGGGTCACAACAAAAATAGGTGTCCAGTTAGTATTAGGCGTTGATTTGTATTATGTATCGTTTTGCACTATGTCATTCGTAGTTGTTATCTTTGAAGCGTATGATACTCGTTATTTGTAATATGTTCTGTATGCAACTCCGTTCATTTCACCCATGCATTTGTATTATGTAGCGTTTTGCACTATGTCCGAACCAATTTGTAATATGCTATGTATGATACTGTGTTCATTGCACTTTGTATATATGCTCATATTTTAATCACAGGTCTATTCATTATGGATCCGGGACCGGAGAATCCCGACGTTTTGTACCTTCAGGCGAGTCATTGTTCAGACCATATTGGTTCGGGAGAGGTAATACGAATAAATTAGATATATATTTCTTCGATTAATGTAATTTTTTAATGAATATACTTAAAACTGATTCTCGTTTTATGTGCAGCCCGTACCAGAGTACACGATGATCGAGCATTCCCATAGTCATTCGGCATGGGTCATAGAGGATGAGAGGGTACTAGCTTTGATCGCTCAGGCCGGTTTTCGACCGTGTTCGACGATTCGTTATATCAGGCTTGATTGGCCGCTTATCACTGCTTTGATTGAGAGGTGGAGGCCAGAGACCAACACCTTTCACATGCATATAGGGGAGTGCACGATCACTTTACAGGACGTGGCCGTCATACTTGGGCTCCGGATTGATGGACCGGTAGTTACGGGCACCGACGATCATAGTTGGCCGGAGGTATGTGGCCGGCTACTTGGACAGGTTCCCGACTTGAGGAGTGGTGCGATGAAGCTATCGTGGCTTCGTCAGACATTTCAGGGCGACATACCAGAGGATGCCTCTGATGAGACGCTCCAGTTTCATGCTCGTGCATACATATTGCACATGATAGGGTGCGTACTATTTCCTGATGCGAGCAAGACTCTCGTACATGCACGATGGCTGCCACTGCTGGAGGATTTTGGTGTATGCGGGGCACTATCGTGGGGCAGTGCGGTGTTGGCATATTTGTATCGAGAATTGAGTAGAGTATCTCTGATGCAGAATAAAGAATTCAAGGGATGCTGTACGTTGATACAGATTTGGTCATGGGAGCGCATTCATATTGGACGACCCACTTTACTTATGCACCGTGACTTAGAGGGGCAGTATCCGTTGGCATACAGGTATAATTGTACACACACATATTTCATTCGTAACCTGAATATTTGTACTTATATATTCGCTATTCTGCATATAGGTATAACGTGCGATACGCTCAGTACAAGGGGGGGGGGGGGGGTCACGCGCGCTTAAATAGGTGGCAGCAAACTCCACGGGAGTTCAACTCCCGTGGAGTTGCAGTGCCAATTTTCCAGAGATCGATTCTCTGGAAAACTGGCACTGCAACTTCACGGGAGTTGAAATCCCGTGAAGTTGCAGTCACAATTTGCCAGAGACTCGATTCTCTGGAATTGCTGACTGTAACTCCACGGGAGTTCAACTCCCGTGGAGTTTTAAGCAGAAATTAAGCTTCACGGGAGTTGAACTCCCGTGAAGTTTAATTTCTCCATAAACTTCACGGGAGTTGAACTCCCGTGATGTTTCGGAGATTTTTTTACAAAAACCGACCTGTTTTCAGCGCTGGGCTGAAAACAGGTCGGTTTTTGCAATTATTTTGAAAAGGGGTCGGTTTTTGCAATTAAATGTGTAAAAGGGTTGGTTTTGAAAATTTGTCCGCCAAAGAAAGGTAGGTTATGATTTCTAACCAGTTGTTAGTATAGACGTTACCAACTCTGTATCGGAAATTCTCAACTCTCTATAAATCACGTGGGGCCTACATATGGCAATGCACGAGACTGCAATAGTTTTAGGACAAGGTAGCGATGAATAGTTGGACCCAGGTCAGCCGAAAGGCCCAAAAGGCCGATACTCGTATTTAGATTTACACATACAGGTACACAGCCTCCATTAAAACGATCTCTAGTGTGCACACCGTGCCAAACACGAACCACTATTTTTTAGAACATAACATTTTAAACTTATCTCCCTCTAAAATTTAACACATGTAATTTAATTATTATATACTTAAAATTAAAAATCGTATCTAATCCTTTACAATTAAATAGTAATCTAAATTGTAGTACATTTGATTTTGAAATCATATATACTCCTCTGTACTTAAAGAAAAATCCAAGTTTTAATACATATGATTTGCTTTACTGTTTATAATACAGTAAAATATTAAAGTATAAATAGTGACTTCAAGTATGGAGGAGCAGATTTGATATACTGTTCATATTACGGTAAATATTGTAGTATGAACAGTGACCCAAGCGCAGAATGTTAGATTCTGATACTGTTTATGCTACAGTATTTACTGTAGCATAAACAGAGATGCTCTGGATTCTCCATTTAAGTATAGAGGTGTAGAGTTATGAAATATTTAGATTTACCTATATGAAAAACTTACCTATTATCAAAAGATGTGCAATCCTTGAGGAGTATATAGCCTGAATATCAGAAGATGCGCTATCTCCCGAAAAAGAAAAAAATAGTTATAAAAAAAAGTTACGAAAATGTCCAAGCTTTAGATAATTCTCAAACTGACAAATAGAAAAATGAAGAAAGAACTAATAAAAGGGTCATTCTTCCATCTCGATGAGTATTTCTAGTAAAAATGTGTTGAAGAAAATAATCAACAGAAAAGAACGAACACGTGTTACCTGAAACTCAATTTATTCAATTTACCGCTCGTATTAGCTTGCTACTTAAATTCGCCAAACATTATGTTGCCTGAAATTTCTAAGAAATCACTTATATTACCGGACATCTTCAGACAAAGAATATGAAATGTTAACTAATCTTCCTTCATCTCAAAGCATTTTGACTTATTACAGATATCACAAATTTGGGAAAACAAAGGTTACCAAATTTCCGGAGCCTCAGCGTGATTATTTCGTCTTTTATAAACTTTAGTAAGATTCGTCCTTTGATAAAGATAACATATTATATGTGGCTTTTAGTTTCTATAGTGTAATTAAAAAAATGGATTTAGATCCTCACCAATTAGGTGGTAATTAAAGAGTTTCTAATTCCTCAAATTATTATCGTACAATCCAAATTCAATGTACGAGGTCAGACCACGTAGGATTCCACTACTATCTAGTGGTTTTCAAAAAAAATAGAGGTTTTCGAAAAATAATGGTTTTCATGATAATAGTGGCTTTATTTCGTGGACTAATATTGTCTCTCGAATTTAAAATGTATCATAATAATTGGAGGAAATAGAGACTCTTCACGTACCATCTAATTAGAGAAGCTCCGAATCCTTAAAAAAAATACATCCTAGTTCTACTAGATTAAGCCATCACTCAAGTTACACTTAATATAAAATATATGTTTTAAGAATTTAGGATGATAGAACGCTCAATCATGGAAAAGGTTAAAGAAACTATGCAACAATCTAAATTGACTCTATTTTCTGTCGTAAAAAAAAATCTTCGCTTTATACGCTTTGGTTTAAAATTACTGCATACAATCAAACACATGAATACAATAGCTAATAGTTCAGACATAAAAACTTAAAAATATAGTATCTCTTTGGCATGTAATTAATAATGCGAGTACCGATACTCTCATAAAATGCTCATAAGGACGACAAATTTGATATTTCATTCTCTTATTAGCTCAAATCATTCTGAAATGTGCTAGAGGTTTTGATAGGATTTGTACTCGCTCAGTATAATGAGTCGGATGCGTATAAAATAAAAAAGCAATTATTTTAATAAATAAAATATTAGGGTGATTTATGTAAAACAAGATCCAAAACAAATTTAAGGATCAATCTCCAGCTGTCAAGTGAGTTACTTACTCTTGTTTTGTCTCTCTCATACTTCCAAATTCATTAATAAGATTAAAAATAAATAAATTTGATGGAATAAAATTTTAAAAATTTTGTTTCACATATGACATAACCTTGTAATTCCTAATTAGATCTCATCCTCCTCATGTTTCGAGAGCTCATTAAACAATCAAGATGTAAAGGGGAATCCTAAAGGCACTACCTTTTTCCTCTTTCTTCGAGTGATAGCAAAGAGGGGGGAGAGAGAGAGACATCTGTAACCTTTTTCCTCTCTGTGGATCCCTCTCACTTTCTCTCTCCTGAATGATTATCCCCTTTTAGAGAGAGAGAGAGAGAGAGAGAGTAAGCATGTTCAAATTGCACAGGCACAAGTCAGATAGATTAGGGGAGAGGGTGGAGTTCAGATTCTCAAGCTTACAAGCGTTTCAGGTGATGCATTTCATTTTTTCCCCTTAATTTTTGTGGCATTTTTGGGTGATTTTGGGGATACCCATTTGGTATTTAGATGGGATTTTTTATTGCAAATGTTGGGGTTTTGTCAAAATTTGTGTTTTGACTTGAATTGGATGGAGATAATGAGTTCTATTTACCCATTGTTTAGCATGGGCAAACCCATTTGAATTAAGTTTGAATTTTCATTGCCCATGTTGAGTTTCTGCCCAATTTGTATCGGGTTGATTGATTTATTATTATTATTATTATTTTCATATAGAAGAATTGTGTGAATTTGGGACATATCCGTTTGAGTTGCAGACACTTTAGCTCAGTTTCAAATAGTGAATGAGATTTTATCTTCTTGAGTGTTTGATAAGTTTGCATTTTTTATTTATTTAAATTAGGATGATGATTGTGTTCTCTCTACTGAGAGTGGTAAAAACTGGGGAATATCTAATTGCTTTAAAGTTTAAGTTTTCATTACCATGTTAAGTTTTATTAATGTGAATCTTACTCTCCTGTCGTAAAAAAATTGTAAAGGATGTCTGTGAAATTGTGCAAACTGTCATGAAATATAAATTAATAAGCCGCACATGGTACAACGTATTTTACTTTCTAAGAAAATTGAGGGAAAGATTTTCATATAAGAGAACAAATCTGTTTATTATGTCCACCGATTTAGAGATATAATGGGATCCCTAGGGAGATTATAGGCGAATTTTAGATAAGATATAGATCCTTGACATTAGTTACTAGGGAGAGTACAATTGAAGGAGTGCTGCAAACCACTCATGCTTTATCTGAACAATGGGAAATTAAATAAACAAAGATTTTCAAATATAGAAAGTTGAGATGGATGAATGAAAAAATGGTAAAAGATAGAATGAGGATTAAGTATATTCAAGAGACTTGAATACTGTAGTATCAATTACGCGTGGTATGAAGGAGAATGTCTTGAGTTCATCTTCTGAAATTTGATTCCTTGGGTTTTAGATTGTGGAGTTTATGATCAATGCCATGGAATTGCGAAACTTCAGCTGTGAAAATGGATGAATGAAAATATGCTAAAATATGAAATAAGAAATAGTATATTCATGAGTTAAATATTGTAGCATCGATCAAGTATGTGAGGGATACATCTCTTGAGGTTCCTCTGCTGAAATTTGATTCCTTGGGTTTTAGATTGCGGTAATAATGATCAATGCCATGGACTTACGAATTTTGCATGCATTATTCATCACCAAGTCAGTAAGATTATCCAATGAAGATAATGCATACAAAATTATATAGAATGTTTTACATAAACGTTGAAATATGGGGCTTCAGTTTTCAACAATGGGCCTGGTCATTATCATGGAAACTTACAAGTCCAATGAATTAAATAAATATTTTATATTTTTGAGCATCACTCTGTTTTTGTTTGATATAGTCTGGAGCTGATATAAGGATATTTAAATATTACAGTTATCATGTACTGATATGTGGTCTTTCTCTTTCTTCTACTAATGCTTCGAGCTACAATTATTCTCATCGTGATATATCTAAAAGTAAAAAAGTTAAGAATTATATTCTTAAATGTTGTTTGTCGTTACCTTTTCATCTGAGAGTTCCCTTTCTTGAGATATATAGCTCATACACGTTCTATATTATCTGATAAAAAGATTTTTTTCCTTTGCTAATTATATAGATTCCTAAAGGATGGGACAGGCTTGTTTTGTCTATAGTATGTGTGGAGACTGGAAAAACAATTGCGAAGTCCAGCAAAGCTATGGTTCGCAGTGGAACTTGTCAATGGACAGAGACATTCTCCCAATCCATATTTATTCCTCAATATGGTGCATCAAAGGAGATTGAAGAATGTGTATTTAAAGTAGTTGTTGCCATGGTATAATACCTATGTTATTTTTCAAAATAAGTTGATATTTATTATCTATCATTTGTCATTTTCAGTGTACTCTTGTTGGTTTCAGTTTTTGAACTTTTCTGATATTTTCATGCTGCAGGGATCACATAGAACAGGTATACTGGGAGAGATTACCATAAACTTAACAGATTATATGAGTTCACACGACTCTGGATCATTTTCTTTGCCATTAAAAAGGTGCAATTATGGCACAATTTTACAGGTGAACTGTGCTCCTGAATTTATTCTTTGCTGCTGAGTATGTATAATTATTCTGCATGCTTCTAATGATTGTATGTGCAAGTTGTACTTGTACTCTTTTGGTTTATAATGCTTTAGTCATTCTCAGTTAAACAATCCAATCCCATTTGTACTTTTTTCCCCTATGGTAATGGTCCTTTCTATGTGTGAGAGGTTTATACTCCGAAAATCAAAATATTTAAAGGGTTTACCTTATATTGGTCCCCCAAATCTAACCTCTTTTTAAATAAGTCCCCCAAATCTCATATATTTTAAAGAAGTCCCTCAAATCTATTAGTACTTTTACATAAGTCCCCAAAATCTCATATATTTTAAATGAGTCCTCCTAATCTATAAGTTCTCTTAAATAAGTGCTTCCACGTAAAAAATTGTTAACTTAGCTCTAAATTACATTAATCTTGCTAGTTTTTCTCTCATCTTCCCTAGATATTTGCGCCTAATACCTGCAAAACTGAGTGCAGTAGAGACTACTCAACAATTAGCAAGCAAGGGAAGAGACAGAGAAGAGTTTCAGGGGGAAATGTTTAGAATGAGGAATGAGGAGAGAAAGACGTGCAAGATTAAATGATTAATCGAATTCAGTTAACTTGGAGTTAAATTTGTAGTTTTTAACATAGGAGGACTTATTTAAGAGAACTTGTGGTTTTGAGGAACATTTTTAAAATATATAAGAATTGGGGGACTTTTTAAAATATATAAGATTTCGAGGGCTCATTTAAAAATAGGTTATATTTGGGGACCAATATAAGAAAAACACTTTTGGATTTTATGATAAGATGGTGACTGTTTTACTTCTATTCTATGTATGTTTACTCTTAACAATTTTTTTATTGACATTTTTTTTGCCCACTATGAAAAGATAGGTATTATGTTGATATCCCTTTGGGGTTTATCAGGAAGTATTTGAGTGGTAATTTTCCTTCTTTCTCTCTTTTGCAGATTAGGATTCAGTGCCTCAACCCAAAAAGAGGACTCAGGTTTAACTTCAATTTCTTGTAGTGAAATTATGATGGTGACATCCCTTTTCCCCTTTATTCATCAGTATTTAGTTAATATTGCAGGGATATAAAAAGTTCAAGGGAAACTACTTCCTCTTTTGAAGGTCTTCATACTAATAACGATGAGATGGATGGCAAGTCAGATGGATCTGATAGTATAATTAACCAGAGTTTTGGATCTTCATCAAGTAACAATTTTGGTGTAATTTATTCGGAAGAAGCTACAAATCGGGTTTGTTTCACTTTCACAGTACTAGTTTTGACTAGAAAATTGGCAATTTGCCCTTTTTAGTACTTTTTTTCTCGTGCTACATGCTATCAAAGTTGCCCGGCTTATTTTAACATATATGTTGATGTCTATTATACAAATTCTATTTTAAATGTTGTATGAACTTATCGAATGGGATTAGTTTCATCGTTATATGTCCTCTTCTAAGAAGGTTATCTATTACTATCTGGTAAAGACTTGAATAGCCTTGATGAATTTATGGGTTTAAATAGTTCCAAATTATGATAAGGAATGACATGATGTTCACTATTGCAATTTTTTAAGAGTTACTTTAGCTTGACATATATTTGTTTATTTTTTGCAAAGTGGTTTTCACGTGATTTAAAAGCCCACATGAGGGAGAGTGTTAAGCATCGCCTTATGTAACCTTGGAAGAAGGCTAATCACTTGCTGCTGTGGGTTCCATAAAATATTGTGACTCTAAACCTCTATTTAGTGAGTCAATAATTAGAGGGTTTGCAGAGTCAATAATGATATTGATATAATCCCATAATTGGATATTCTAATAGCCATTCAGAATAGCCTTCAGTAACTCTGCCATAAAAGATGTCAAAGCAAATCAAATGTCCATTATCATCTTAAGGATAGCAACCCAGTACCTAAACTGCAGAGAGCCATTTTGAGCTCCATTCTAATTTACCTTGAGTTTGTTTTCCTGTGATCTGACTGAATGTCCAAGAGCAACTTTCTTAATCCTCCTCTTCTAGGTTTTTTCCCCCTTTTAAACATTTTTAGTGCTGTTGCCGCCTCCATAAAAGCAAACTCTTTTAGGGTTCGGAAGGTTAGATAATTTCTCATATTTGAAGAATCTTGATATATAATCACTGTACCTGAATGTTTTTCTCATCGAACCAAGCTTGATACCTGTATTTCCAAATGTCCAAGCCAACTAAGTTCGGAATCACATATAGACTGATAGGCATAGTATCCCAAGCAATCCAATGGGATGTTCAATAGATGAATCATTCGAAAAAGATTTTAGCCTTGTAGCAGTTCTTCATGTACTTTAGTTCATTAGTAGAGTGAAACAGTCTTCACTCTGATAAGAGATCTGCAGTGTGGCAGTCTTTGTCGATTAGTGAAATATCTCTTTTCACTTGGTTACTTTTTAGAAAAATTCACCATCTTTTTCCTGCTTATTTAAAGGCGACTATTTACTTCCTGCAGGACACAAGTTTCTCAGCTTCAGGATCACATCGAAGTTCTGATTCTGGGGACAGTCCCATTGGGAAATTGAATTTTTCTCCCAGAAACAATTTGAATGGTGGATTTCCTAGTTTAACTCCCGCCGAGGAATTTTCAAGATCAAACCCATCATCCTTCAATTCTAGAGCCTCGGGCTCCTCTACTCCAAATCGAGGGCAAGAATCTACCGCACAAACTCCAATGTCACTAGGACCCAATGCTTCTCCTAAAGCTTTTCTTGAAATTGCCGAAGAAACAATCGAAGAACTTCAAGATGAGGTAAAAATGTGGGAACGACACTCTCAGAAATTGAAGCAAGATATTGAGAAATTCAAGAAGGAATCCTCAGATAAATCCAAACGGCAGAAAGAGCTAGATATGGAGCTTTCTGCTTCTTACTCTGAACGTGATTCTCTAAAGAAAGAGGTTGAACAATTGAAAGCATCGTTAGAGGAAGCAATAACGAAACAAACTCCTATAAGAGGTTCTAAAAATGAAGTCACATCATGTGTCGAGAAGGAATTGGAAGATGAACTGAAGTTCTTGAATGAATCTAATGCTAATCTAAGTCTCCAGCTGAAGAAAAGTCAAGAAGCAAATCTTGAGCTTGTTTCTATTCTTGAGGAACTTGAAGAAACTGTAGAGAAGCAGAAATTGGAGTTAGAAAAACTTCCACAAAAAAGTCCCGCAAATGGATCCGATTGTGAGAAAGAGGCAGAGTGGAAAGCTAAGCTATCTGCGAAAGAAGAAGAAATTAGTAAATTAGAGGGGAAGTTATCTAGCAAGCTTAATGCAGAAATTCCTAGTGAGCATGAATCGAGTCGGAGTCATTCGGACTTGATAAAAGAAATTGAAGACTTGAGAGATAAAGTGTGGGAGCTTGAAAGAGACTGTGCTGAGCTTACCGATGAGAACTTAGAACTCATGTATAAGATGAAGAAATCAGGGCAAGACATGAAAGAAAAGGATTCTGAAAATTCTTACTCTGAAATTGATCTGAAATCCCAAAATAAAATGAAAATGCTCGAAAAGAAATGTGCTGATCTTGAAGTTGAACTGCAATATTTCAAGGATCAAGCTCCTCATCTTGATATCAGTAAAGAAAGTACAAGAAATGAATCTGATATCGAGGATCTCAAGATTGCCTTTTCATTAAAAAAAAAGGAGATCGATGTGCTAAAACATGAAAAAGAGGAATTAGAACTTTCAATTACAAATATACAAAGAGACAAAAGTAACTTAGAGAAAAATCTTGCTAGTACTGTGGATTCTCATACTTCCACTAATAAGATGCTTGAAAGGAAGTTGATGGAACTCGAAAGCAGCAAAAATGAACTAGAGATTCAAGCATGTGAGCTAGAAGAGGAAAATATACAGTTATCTGAACGTGTCTCAGGCTTAGAAGCACAATTACGATATCTTACCAATGAGAAGGAATCCAATAGATTGGAACTAGAAGATTCTAGATCTCTTGTAGAAGATCTCAAGGGTGAAGTTGCACAACAACGAGCTGAAATAGAATCACAAAAAGGGGAATTAAAGCAAAAGCTACTAGATGCACAAAAAAGATTGTCAGAGATACAAGAAGAGACAGAGTATCTGAAGAGATCTCATTCGAAATTACAGTCGACAATGGAGAGCCTTATCGAAGAGAACAGCTCGCTTCAGAAATCAAATGGAGACTTGAGGAGGCAGAAATTAGACTTGCACGAGCGAAGTGCTCATCTCGAAGTTGAATTGAGTGAGTCACAGAAAAGGATTTCTGAGTTCTTGGAAAAGGTTAAACTTCTAGAGATCAAACTTTCTTCAATGCAAAATGATATCATCACTAAGGAGAAAATATTAACCTCACAATTAGAGAGCATTTGTCAAGATCACGAGGACCAAGAAGAGAGAATTAGCCAGGCAAAGCTCATGTTGAATCAAATAGATGGAGTGAATAACGTTGAAGTGGAGAATCTTAAGAGAGAAATTGCACACCTCTCTTCACAATTGTGTTCTACTGATGAGGAGAGAGAGCAAATGGCATCGGATGCTGTACTAGAAGTCTCCGGGCTACGGTCAGATAAAATTAAACTTGAGAGTAGTCTACAAGAGGCCATTGCTAAGATTAAAATGTATGAAACTGAGATTCAATCTCTCAGACAAGAATCTAGCAAGAAAGTTCAAGGGGTAGTTGACTTACTAAATGCTTCAAAACAAAGTGAAGAAATGTTGATGTCTGATATTGAGCACATACAGAGACAAGCTGATGCTGCAAAATCGGGCGAAGAAAAATTTAGAAAAGTGGCAAGTGAACTGGAACTGAAGATAAAAGCTTCTGACTATGAAAAAGAACAAATAATGGAAGAAGCTTCCAGTTTAAAGGTTCAAGTAGAAAGGATAGCTCATCTTCAAGATGAAATTTTGGTGCTGAAAAGCTCCCTTGAAGATGCAAAGTTTGAAAATGGAAAATTAGAAGACTTGTTACAGTCGGTATCAGAAGAATGTGAGGGATTGAAGACAGAGAAAACATCATTTGTGGAGAAAATCTCAATTATGCAGAAGGCTTTGGATGACGGTGGAGATGATAGACGCAGTAGAATTGCTTTGGAAGAAAAGCTACTTAGGCTGGAGGGTGATCTAAGTGCAAAAGAGGCATCTTATGCTCATGAAGCAGAGTTGAAGAATGAAATTAACCGTATTAAGAGAGCAAATAGTGAATATCAGAGAAAAATACAATGTCTGGAGGAGGAAAAATGTCAACTGATGAGAAAAGCTGGGATGCTCAACAATGAAAATAACCAGGATAAGATAGTTCCGGACAAGGTGAGTGGAATTTTTTGAGTTATTTGAATATTTTTTTTTGAATTTCAGTATAGGTTAATTGTATATAGACCCCCGTACTATCACCCATTGCGGATAGGCCCCCTGTGTGATTTTATTTATTTATTACTCTACTCAGGAGGTCTATTTATCAAAAACAGTTTTCTCTTTTCCTAGGGGTAAGAGAATAAAAAAGTTTCACTCATGGGTCTATCTGCAACAATAGAACTACAGGAGGACTACCTGCAATTAACCTTCTATAAAACCTCATGATCTCTATTCAAAGTTTAAAAGTCAATAAGGACATTGTTCCAAACCCGTGATACTTTTTTTTTGTCTTTAGAAATAACCTCTCTACTTACCCGTATTACCTATAAGATAATTGTTTTCAATCAGTTTCATTTCTTTTTTTTTCCAGGACAATGATAGGACGCATGATCTTGAGAGTACAATTCAGAACCTGGAGAGTAGGGTTCATGCGCTTGAAGATGAATTGACTGAGTTGGTGGAGGCAAATAACATGTACAAGATTCAACTACAAGGGTATGTCAAATCTCCAAATCATATATTTATGTGGATCATATTTTGTTAGAGTATAAAAATATAACCTTCAAGCCTTCACTATATTCGGAGTTTTGGCGCACTTGTGGGACTTTAATATGGTGTCAGAGCGAACATAGGTTCAAATCTTATTGGCCACGAATTTCTAAAGCGGATCTAAAAAAACACCGTTTCTTGAGCCCAGGTTTCAGCCCATGAAAAGCCCCTCTGAACATGTTAGAATATGGGGATTTTTGCATATATGCCCTCAAATCTTCCATATTTGCAAATTTGCTCCACAAATCTTGGTATTTGCAAAATTAACCCCAAATTCTTTCTTATTGTGTTTTTCTACCCTCAATTTAACAATGTTAGTTTCTAAATAGGGCACTGTCAAAATTTTCTAATAATTTTCAAAATGTTTGCAACATTTTTCCGTTTGGAACATAAAATTGCTAAGCGGGAGGGATAAAAAACTCGATGTGAGAGATGTTGAGGGTAATTTCGCAAATATCAAGATTTGAAGGGTAATTTTGCAAATATAGAAGATTTGAGAGGTATATATGCAAAAACTCCTAGATTATAAAATTATGACCCTCACCATAACTTCAGAGCTTTTGGTGTAGTGGTTGGGATCTTAAGATGTTTTATATATGCTTATTTTGAAAGGCTGATTTAACTGCAAATAGAAGACATACACTATAAAAAATGGTGACTGATCTGCTGCATTATAATCATTGTCAGCATGAGACTACATTCAGACATGACATGACACTTGCACATTCATATCCTATAGTTCATACACTTTTCATGTCATAAAAAGTAGCACATTACTGTGTATGAAAAAAATAATTAGAAATATTATCTAGAATGGATATATAGAAATGTAGCTAGAAATTATATTCATGTGATCTACGTGAATGATGTGTCAACTTAATGCCTTTTTGGATTATCCTTAAGTTACTTATCTGGAGAACAGTCACATATGTTTGTACAGATAAATTGTTGCATATGCGTATACAATACTTTTGGACAAACATAACAAGGTGAATGCAAACATATTTAAAACAAAAGTCTAAAGTTGTGTAGCCAGATAAGTAAAATATAAAGAAGGGATATCTTTCCAGCCTTTTATAGGTGAAGTATAGTAAACCAACGTTGATAGCATAAAACAAAATAAAGTAGCACAATGTAGGTTACGTGTTTTATTAATTTTTTAATTTTAAATAAGAACTGTTCACAAATTTTTAATAAATAGTAACATGATATTAACTTACATTGAAATAAAAAATTCAATGATTTTTTTCGCATTAGTCCCTCAAATCTTCCATAATTTGATATTATTTCTTCAAATCATTGAAATTGCTGATGTGTCCCTCAAATCATATGTGATCTTACAATTTGGTCCATGCTAATTTCTCAATTGAATTGGAACCATGGTTGGGTTACTTCTTGATCCAATACGGTCAATTACCCATTCTAGAGGGAAGACCACTGGGAAAGATGTAAATGGGTTCGGGGGAAATCTTACCATTGGAGAAGAAGGATGTGGGTTTGAGTTTCTAGTTTGCAGGTTTTGGGTTCAAATGCGTTAAACAAACTGGTTGGTTAAACATAACTGAAGTGTACAATAGGAACTGAACTCCAGTGCGAAAGGTTAGATTTGAGAAAATATTCCCTTCAGATCTAACATCATCTAACTAAAAGGACCAAATTGTAAGCCCTTATGATTTGAGGGACCTATCAACAATTTCAATGGTTTGAGGGACTGACATCAAATTATGGACGATTTAAGGGACCGATATCTAGAATGAATTAGAATCCTTTGGATAGCATATACTCATCTCACTCTTTTCATTCTCCTATAAAAAATCGATCATCCTGTTCTAGAATGAATTAGCATCCTCCAGAGAGCATACTCCTCAACACCAACATCAAATATTGGTTGCTTCCCTTTTCTTGTGGACGATGTTGTCTAAAGAATGAGAATCAAAATCCAATTTAAACTTCAAAGATCCGTTCAAATAAATATATGATTTCAAGCTTATTCTAAGTTTCCAATAAGCTTATCAGATATTGAACCCTTTCCGTCTTTGTTCTTATGGCGATATATCTACATCTTGCCCTCTTCCACGATAGTTAGATTACTACTAGGGAGGTCAGCAAACTAAAAGACTGCACATAACAATTTCTATTCATTTATTTTTAGATTAATGGAGGAAAAGCAAAATGACAATACTAAAGTACCCGAGAAGCACATAAGCGAAGGTGAAACAGGATCACAAGAAGCTAGCAAGATTTCTTCGTTGGAGACAGAGTTGAAAGAAATGAGAGAACGGTATTTACATATGAGCCTTCAATATGCCGAAGTAGAAGCTCAGAGAGAAGAGCTTGTACTGAAGCTCAAGACTACAGCAAAAGGAAAGGGTTGGTTCTCATGATCAAATGGCCTGAAATCAATTTTCATTTTCTTTTATTTGCTATTTTTGTTGGTATATAATTTATTTTCCACTGGTTATGTCGGAGGATAGTGTTAGCTATTCTTTGGCTATCTTGTAACAAATTGTTGAATTTCTTACATAATAATTCATGTAGTTGATCACAGAATCTGTTGTATAATTGTGTGACAATAATTTGCCCTGGATAGTTCCCATTGGAGGCTTCCGCTTATAGATTTATTTGCATAAGATCAGTGTAAGTTGTGAAGTGTACACATAGTCAGTTCAAATGAATTATTGATCAAAGTTTAACGGCTTGGGAATGCTCTCACTCTAAATAGAATTGCATCTACATATTTTGTTCATTTTGTGCGCCCTGTACTCTTACTTTGCTGGTGATGGATGGTGAATTTTCGAAATTTACTTCTCATAGGCCATATTCAAATTTGGTATTATTTTGAGTTAATAACCCTTTATCCTTTTAAAATATAAAAATATAACAACCCAAAATCCTCTCAAAAAACTTGGGTTTTGGTGTGATTGATTAGAGACTTTAAGATGGTATCAGAACAATCTAGATTCAAATCTCACCGGTCACGAATTTAAAGTGGATTTTTTTAACTTTAATATCATTACGTGAATCCATGCTCCACCCTTAAGAATGGTCTTAACCTGTGAGGGAATGTTAAAATATAAAAATATGATTTTCGATCCTTATCGAAACTTTAGACTTATGTTATAAATAGTTAGGGACTTTAAAACATACTTTTGTCTATCATTTATTTATGTGTATTCCTAGATTATCTCTTTTTCTCTTTGCATACTTCATCTTTACTTATGGTGTAACCTTATGTGTTCTTTTTTGAATAAGATTCATTTTGGTCCAAATATTGATTATTGATAATTTCACGATAAGCGAAAATGACAAGAAAGGAAAATAAATTATTTAAAGGAAGAAAAAAGTTATTTGGAAAAGCATATATGATTATAGTAAAGTTTTTTCTCAAGTGAAGATATCTTTTTACATCGAATTTTTCCTATTTCTGCCATCTAATTACTAAAAGTTATGGATTTGACTAAGGATCCGTGTGAAGCTCTGATAATTTTTTTAAGTGATGATATCTTCTAAATAGACTCACCGGGTATGTTCAACTTTAGATGACTTGAGAATGCAAATGCTATCTTTGAATCCACAAGGTAAATAACAAAACAAGAATTACTAAGGCTTCGTTTGGGTACCATGATTTTTTTTTTGTTATTTATTTTGTATAAAAACATCATGATGTTGTGTTTTTCCCTTAAAACGTTTTCAAAACATCATGTTAAGTATTTTTTGTCAATACTAGTTTGACCCATTACAACATAAGTATTAAACATATTATTAATATATTATATATTAATTATAGTAAAATATATTATAAATAAAATATTATAATATTTAGTTTATATTATTATAGTATTAGAAGTATTAAATATAATGTAATATAAAATTGTATAATGTATTATAATACTATATTGTAATTAATTAGTTATATTATATTATAATTATTACATATTATATTTAAATAATTATATATTTAATTATTTTGGTATATCAATTTGTTATTGTTATATATTATATTAATATTTTATAATAATATTATTTTATTATTAATATAATATTATACTATTATTAATACAATATAATAATATTATACTATTATTCATATAATATAATATTATTAATAATATTAATATTATGATATTACTAGTATGTTATTAATAAATTAATATATTATAAATATTTTAATATTATGTAATATATTATGGTCTTTAATATGTTAGAGTTTATTAATAGTAATTTAATAATATATTAATAATTTATGATATAAATAAATATTATTATATTATGTATATATTATTTTTACATTAACATTTGTTAGCAATAAATTATTTTATTTATTATATAATATATTAATATTTCATATATTATATTACATTTACTATACAATATATTATTATAATAATATTATTATTTTATTTTTAAATATGTTACTATTATATAATATTTTATAATTATTAATTTATTATAGTTTATTTATTTAAAAGTTAATAATATTATAGCGATTATACTATTGTGTAGTATATTATTATATTATTATTTATTATCAATAACTTTTTTATTTATTTTTTATTAGTTTATTTATATTTTATTATTATTTATTATTATATAATACATTGTTAACATATTAAATACTAGTACTTGATATGTTATTATATTGTTATATAAGATATTTTATTTATTATATTTTTACATTATTTAATAAATATTATTAATATATTAGATTTATTATAATATAGTATAGTATAGTATAATAAGCATGTTGATAATAACTCTATGTTGATTACATTTAATATATTATGTTAGATATTATATTAACACCTTCTCAAACACAAAACCAAAACACCAAACTTAAAACACATTTTAGATATTTTGAAATAAGTGTTGTGTTTTTGGTTTGATGATGATTTAGTTCAAAAAACACCATGATTTCCAAACGCATGATGTTTTGTTTTTGGCAAAAACACCATGGAAATAAGTAAAACACCATGGTATTCAAACGGAAAGTTTTAGCTATTTCGTCACTTTGGCAAGAATTTTGACTTAGAAGGAAGGTCAATTGCATTCTTTCATTACACTGAACTGTCCTCTTTTTTTAGATGCACATTTTAATATGGGTTTTTTTTCTAATGGTGTCTTATTAGGAGATGAGAGATACAGAGAGAGAAGAGGTAATGGAAGAAGTTAGTGCAAATCAGAGAACTCATTTGCTATTCATTTCTCTTTGTCTCTCTCATCTTCTAACGCATGCCCATAGGCATCCATTAATGACTTGGTAATGAAACAAGATTGAAGGAAGTCTTAAATACTTTATTAAAAAAAGCCATAAAAGTGTACGTCCAAATTGACTAATATCAAATTGATTGTGAAAAATCGTTAAAGGATATTAGTGGTACCTTAGAACTTATCCAAAGAATATCAAATTGACTGAAAAATCAACCTAAGTATACGAGTGAAATCAACCTAAGTATGTCAATAGGCATCTTAAAGCTTATCCATGAAGGAATTTCAGCATCAGCAGCAGAATCATGAAAATCAGGCGGCGGTCGACCGGTCCGGTCGACCGCATTCGTGCACAAGGCTTCCTGTGCATCTGGAAGGAGGGCGGTCGACCGACCCGGTCGACCGACGTCTCTCTGGATTTTTGGGGTTTCTGCTGGATGGTGATCGGTCGACCGGGCCGGTCGACCGGAATTGATCGCGGTCGACCGGTCCGGTCGACCGACGCTGTTTTGGGCTGGGCTTTCAGGTTTTCGACCCGATTCGTTTTGTAAGTTCTATATATACCTAAACCTGTTTGTTTAGGGTAGAGGTTGGACGAATTTGAGCAGCCAAAGAGAGAGAATCATTGCATCCAATTGTGAGAGAGCTTTGAGAGATCTAGAGCTTTGTTTTAGGGTTTGGTCTGAGAGATTTGTAACCCTATTTGTATTCTCTTGATTTCTAGTAGAAAGAACTCCCCCCTCCTTGCCCCGTGGACGTAGGCAACTTGCCGAACCACGTAAATTGTGTGTTCTTGCTGTGATTGTGGTTTGCATATTGTTTGTGGTTTAGTTCGAGTTATTGTTCGTGTTGCCCTAGAAAGCTTCCGCCGCGCACAACAATTGGTATCAGAGCTAGATCGACAACATGGGAGATGCAAGCACGTCAGGTTCGTCTCTAACAAAGGCGATACAGAGTCTGAGCATCAATAACACGAAGATTGATGTTCCGAAGTTCGATGGCAAGATCAATTTTGGATTGTGGAGGTGTCAGGTGATGGATGCTTTGGATGCACAGAATTTGGAGGAGACTCTTGAGTTAAAAGAGAAACCCGCTGAGTTGGAGGATAAGGTTTGGAGAAAGATGAACAGTAGAGCTTGTGGTGTTATTAGGTCATGCTTGACGCCGGATCTTATTTATGATGTTATGAACGAGACGTCGGCGAAGAAGATGTGGGAAACACTCAATGAGAAATATCTTACGAAGAGCATTGAGAATCGGCTTCACTTGAAGAAGAGATTTTACCAGTTCAAGATGAAGAGAGGGGTTTCCATCAGGGAGCATGTCAACAATTTCACTAAGCTACTTTCAGATATGGCCAATGTTGATATTATAGTTGAGGATGAAGACAAGGCGATGCTACTTCTGTGTTCGTTGCCCGAAGATGATTATGGTACGTTCGTTCTCACTATGATCAATGGAAGAACTACAGTTAGCTACAAGGAGGTGGTGCTCAGCTTTGGTGAACTATGAGTTGAGGAAGAGTGATGGTGAATCCTCCGAGAAGGCATCGGGAGATGCTTTAGCAGTTCGAGGCCGAGATCCAAACCGTCGTCAGTTCAACCGCTCAAAGTCAAAGAATAGGAGTGCCTATAAGAGTGTTGGTAGAAATCAATGTCGGTATTGTAAAGAAGAAGGACATTGGAAGATTGACTGCCCAAAGTGGAAAGAAAAAGCCGGAAAGAATAAGGGGAAAGCTGCACAAGCTTCAGAAGTGAATGTTGCAAAAGCTATTGGTGAGCATTCAGATTCAGATTCTTCAGGCTATTCATGCCCTGCTTTACCGTCGGTTTGCTATGCGGATTCCACGGAGTGGATGATGGATTCGGGAGCTACATATCACATCTGCCCTAAGAGGGAGTGGTTTTCTAGCTTTGAGGAGCTGGAAAGAGGGGATGTCGTGCTTATGGGTAATGACCACGTATGTCCTATTGGTGGTATTGGTTCAGTCCGGATCAGGATGCATGATGGTGTAGTGAGGGAATTGAAGGAAGTGAGGTTCGTGCCGCAGTTGACGAAGAACATCATTTCTCTTGGGACTTTGGAGGCAGCAGGATATCGAGTGATCTTAGAGGATGCTACAGTGAAGGTCACGAAGGGTTCTATGGTGGTGATGCGAGGTGTCAGGGAAAACTACCTATACTACTTGAAGGGCAAGACAGTTACAGGGGGTCTGGCAGCTTCTATCACTACAGAGGAGGACACTACCACCTTATGGCACATGAGACTTGGACACACAGGAGATAAGTCCCTACAGTCATTGGCTAAACAGGGGCTATTGAAAGGTGCTAAGACCTGCAAGATGGAATTGTGTGAGCATTGTGTACTTGGGAAGAAGACTAGAGTGAAGTTCGGCACCGCTGTTCATAACACCCAAGGTACATTGGATTATATTCACACGGACGTTTGGGGTCCTTCCAAGAACACATCTCTTGGTGGGGCCAACTATTTTGT